TGTGTGTGTGTGTGTGTGTGTGTGTGTGTGTTTGTAACCTGGACAGGGGTTGTGTGGCAGCAGTTAAGATGACAATTTTCTGTCATCTTATTCTGTAATCACACATTTTTGACGTTGGTATTGGTATAAGGTTGAGAGTGAAAGTGTTTAGGAGCAGGGAGAGGGAGGGGTGATGGCAGCTTTGATTGACATTGATCACTTTATCTGTGGTAATAACATTTGTTCTATAAACATTTGTCCATGTCACATAAATGCAACTGAATCCTAAATAAAACAACCAGAGTCTTACCAGGTTCAATGACTTTGCCAGCAGGATACTTTACAACGATCTGTCTGCCGTCTAAGTGCTTCAACATAAACTGGAAACCGCACAGCGCCTCCACCAGGCCGATCTTATGGTTCATGAACAGGTCATTGCCATCTCGCCTGAATGTCTGAAGGGAAGAGACAAAAAGATGGTTTTATAACATGGTTGATGGTTTTTATGACTTTAAATCTCAGTGATCATCCTTAAAGTTTTCTTAACAGTTCATTAGATATATGATCATTGAAATGCAAAGTTAACAGACTAAACACAATCAGCATCTTCTATTGAAAAGGCAGAATCACAAATATTGGTGCCAGGATGGCAGTAGTGCACCGTTATCATGATTCACCAGCACTGGCTCTTAATAAGGAGGGGTCCTCCCTTGTGCTTGTGACCACAGTCATTCTGGAGCAATGGTAACAATTATTACTTTGGAAAATACACCACGAAGAGACAATTTATTTATTTATTTCTATTTAAATGGTCTGAATCACGAGGAGTCAGCAAGCTACTTTTGAGTCTGCACCCCGTACATATATGTATTTCTCATTAGCCGATTTCAGACATGACCTGCGGGTAAAATCTGGAGAATTGGCTACATAGTTTACCCAGAGTCTGCATTTGACATATGCACAACACAGCAGAGGGTTCTCTGCACAGACACGTTCACAACAGCAACAATTCCTCCACGTTAATCAGATTAGATATGGGGCAGCCGGGTGCAGGAGACATTGGCAGGAAGTGACGGTGGATGACTTCCCAATTGAAAACTTACTCAAATGCAACTTTTTTTGCAAGCAGAAATATTTACTTAACTTCTTTACAGTTACTGAATGAACCAAGACTAATACTAAACCTGGCAGTTTTTTTTTCTCCACTCTGGTAAATTATTTTGCCCCCAGTCTCCACTTACATGTGATAGTGGATCACATGTTATATATGTCATATTCTTTGGGACAAAGAAGGAGGGGCATTACTGTAGCTCAGCCTTCTGTTCCAGGTCAGCCAAAGTCAATTTGCATTGTGGGACATATCCTGACTAAAACAAGCCAGTATACACTGAGAAGGAAGCTAAATTAGGCCAGACGAGGGCAGTGGCCTGTGACGATTAAGATTCAGCTGATATGTATATAAAATATATATATAAAATTATGATCTAATATTTTTTGTGCTCCAGTGCTTGTGGAATTTGTTTCTTATACATTATTGCTGTCTCAACATAATGTACTAATTGATTACTGTCCCCTTTTTCTTCTGAAATTATTAGAGACATACACATGTTTTGTTTACTTTTTCCTTCAGAACCAAGAACAGCCCCATTACTGTTGATGAATAGGATCTGCTTTACCCTCGCTAATGTGCTGGTTAGTGAGTCAACTGCTGATAAAACCCCACACTTAATGTGCTGGGAGGTTTAAGTACCAATTTAATTAAAAATGTTCACAAACATTAATTTAGTATCAGCCGATAACCAGTATGTAAACACTGTGTGTGGAATGGGGCGTGGTACAGGTCTAAGACAAATTAGTCAAGATGCGTTGATGTTGCTGACTTCAGATCACAGATGGATGTTTTAATATCTAAGCTATTGTTTCAAACGTTCTAGATCACATTTTGTTCTATGGCAAATATGCTGTTGTATAGCAGTTAACTTTCTTTGGCTGGTGCTCCATGAGTTGTGTACTGTGCAAACTTCAAGCTTCATTCCAAATAATTTATATCAGAGAACATCTGATCCAATTTCAGTAACAGATGTTAATTCTTGGAAGTTGTTCTTCCTCACAAAACTGAATTTAGCTGTGATCTGGTAAATTCATCTTGATTCTAAAATAATCTTTAAGATTTGAGTCTTGAGGTCTTAATTATACCAGATCAATACCAATGTTACAACATCTTCATTTAACAAGTGAGCATATAAATGAAATAAAACCATGTACAAACATGGAAGGCTAAATAATGACTAAACACATGAGTGTTGTGGGGATGAAGGATTGCCGTTGTCTAGCAAATTTAAAATGAGTTAAACATGACACATATGTATTCTTGTATGAGCAAAACTGTTCACAGCAAATCCTGCACCACCTGCAAGGGCATCATTATTATGTATATTAGGGTTGCTGTAGTAGTGAGTATTGAGTGAGTGCATATTTTACCCACAAGCCCCTGTGCCTATTTCATTTTTACAGATAGCCCATTTGGTTTATCTTTGTGAATGAATGGCAGGGTCCCATGATTATCAAATAAAATTCTCATTTGTAAAAGTTGAACGTGACACTCTTTGCCTCACTGCAGCAGCAGACGAGTCACATCACAGAAAAGTCTCATTGGAGTCTTATTAGACAAGAAGAGACTTGACTGATAGGGCGGAGGATTTGAATTTAGAGAGAAAAGCAAAAGCAGTTGACAACATTTTAGATTCAACCTGAATTCCCAGAAGGAACTTGATAACATTGCTAAAACTCTTAAAATCGATCTAATCCAATCAGCCATGTCTGGTTAGAGTTCCCCGAAACGATAATGGTTTTAGGCAGACAGTAATAATTAACATCACACTTTACAAGACTGATGTGACACAAGGCGACTCATAGTCAGCTATTTACTATTTTTGCAATTTCTGAGGGGCCCAAAGTGCTAGCATATTAGACACACATGTTCATTACAAACTATTCATATTTACAGCATCTGTTCAATGCATGATATTAAAAAAAACAGTCAAGAGGTTTGACAGCACCAGCTGAACCTGTTAGTAAATCCATTGCATGACGTTAAGTATTAAGTACTAAGTACTAATTACAGCTACTTCTACAATACATCTTGCAGGTAAGAAACAAAACTAATCACCAAATAATTGGTATAAAGCAGTGCACTGGACTGTAGTTGGTCATTGTACTGTTATCCTGGCTGTAGCCCTGCAGGTAAAAGAATGATCACTTGATCCAGGGGGATATGGAATCCAGCCAAGAGATAAGAGAGATAAACTCGATGGGCAGCTGAGCTTTGTGCTGCATCGCTTGAGGTGAGTTTACCTGAGCTAGTCTGCATGCATGAGGAGTGTGCAGACTGAAAACACAGCTTCTGTCTGCTTCTATGTGTTTAACAATGTATCCCCTTACCAGGAGAGATCTACAATTCACTACTGAGTTAAACTTGTCTAGAAGACGTGTACTTTGACTGTTTTCATTTCCTTTCTCCATTGTTCTGGCAATCACACAAAACGTCAAAATACTTTCAAAACCGCTATGTTACAATAAGTGGTATGATAAGGGGACTCCTTCTAGGAGATTCCACTAATTTATGTTTTTCTTAAGGATATTTATGACACTGCTTAATAAGTCAACAAACGAAGCCTGTTGAAAATGGATCAAAAGGACAACACACAGCAGAAGAACAAGGAGAACAGAGGCTAGTGTTGGTGATCTGAAGCTGTTTGAAACTGACTTTTACTGAGGCAGCTGTGGGAAACGGTTGAGTTACATTCACTGATTGAAATAAATCTTTGGTTAGAATGTTTTAATGAGGTTTGGATGTCTATTTATTCTAGATTTATTTTGACAAAATCATATTTGGAGAAGAAAGTCTTTAAAGATAAAAAAAAAATCCTTTAATGATCTCATAAACTCCTATACAGTATTTTACAGAGATACAGAAGTTGTCAGCCCCTTGTCTGATCTTCATGTGGTGCATTTTATGTGCAAAGAGAACTTCACCAACGCAGGAAACTGCAGCCTGCAAATCATTGCATGCTATGAAGAAAAAAAGGAATGGGAAGTTGTGGCCAGGTAAGGCAAGTTAGCTTAGAACTATGGTCACCTTTATATGGGCAGAAAATATTCAGAAACTGACAAATCAAACCATATCAGCAAAAATCAGCAAAATTGTGTCCCTATTAATAATATAAAATATTTCTCCCATGACACACACACACAGGACTCTGGGGATTCAGAGGGCAGATACATATGTTGACAGTATTGGGACACCAGCCCACCTACCTCATGCTCTTTTTCCTGCAGGACAAGGACAATGTCCCCGGGCTCGACGCCAGGAGCCTGGTCAGCTTCCCCTCCGAATGTTATCTTCTGGCTGTGCTTCATGCCTTTGTCCACGTGTACCTCTAGAATCTTCACCTCCTTCACAACTTTCTTGCCCTCGCATTTTTTACAGCGGTCCTTCTCACTGATAACTTCACCTGGGTTGGTTAGAGAAAACAAATGTGAAGCAGGTCAAGATCTGATGATGCAAATAGGAGATGGCTGATTGTGGTTTGATTAGTGTGCCCCTTACCTTCGCCATTACAGTCAGTGCAAACAGACTGCATCTGTTGGACCATCCCTGGGGCCAGCTGTCTAATCATGATGCGCATGCCACGCCCCCTACATGTTGTACATTTTTGTACAGCACCTGTCTTTCCTCCCTGCCTGCATCAACACAGAGATTAAACTGAGAAACAGTAACAGGATTAACACAGCAATAGACTGCACAATGAAGCAGACATCAGTAAGGACTAGAGCACTACAATATTTATACAACTTACCCATTACAGGTGCTACACAGAACATTCTTGCTAAGCTGTAGTTTAGTTGTTTTCCCATTGTAAACGTCCTCCAGTGTCACCCTGTAGTAAAAGTGGGATGTTTAAATATTATAATGTGCCATACTTGGAGTACATTGTTAGCTTGTACTGAAACTAAAATATGTTTTAATTAATTCTGAGTACAAAATATACAAGTACAAACATATCACTCAAGTAGGGCTGGGCAATATGGAAAAAATCTTATCACAATTATTTTTTTCATATCAGTCAATATAGATATATATATATCACAATATAAATCAAATCATTGCCACTGCACTGAGGCATATTACTCTGCACAGGTCAACAAGTGACTCTGCTCCTCTGATGTTTTCTAATCAATCACACTGATCTTTATAAAAAAAAAATCCTGCTGAATCCATATTTATGTTCCTGGATTCCTGGGCGTTGCTTCTTTTGCAACAAAGAGTAAAAATACGCGTTGAGTCCCAATCTGCGGGAGGTACTTCTCTTCTGTTTGCAGTGTGTGTGTGTGTGTGTGTCTGCTTATCTCTGTCCCTCTTCGCACACAAACTGATAATCACATGTATTTAGTTATTAATCAATGGTGTTGGCTCATGAATCCAGATTGTTCTGGTCACTCTAGCCCTGATGTCCTGACTGTGCGCATCACGTTACGTCTCGTGTAGCAGGTTTAAACATGTGTCTCATAAACTCTGGAGCGACTCAAACAAACACAAAGTAGATGTCAGTCCTGTGCGTGTCCTAATAACCTGTAACCTGTGCTGGTGTTTATTGTTAAAGTGTAAAGTGAACGCAGGTCAGAGGGGGAGTGAGGAGGAAGCAGACTCCGACATGTGACTCAGTACAGGATGACTGGACCTTTAATGTGCGTCTGTCTTGATCCTGGAGCAGCAGTGGTTTTAATTATTCAGCGGTGGAAAACCGCTAAAACAATCAACATAGCTGAAAACATGAATCGATTATGCTGCTCCTCCTAAACTCGTGCAGTGTTATTATCACTGGCTGTTAGTGTTGATTGTCAAAACATGGGTGGGATGAGTTCTATCAACGTTATATGAACCATGACTTCAATTATATTGAGGAAATGTTATATCGCGATAATTCTTATTATCATTTTATCACCCAGCCCTACATTCAAGTAGTTTGTGTCAAAGCTTAGTCTTACTTGAGTGGATGGACCATGTCCTCTCCTCTTCTCCGGCCTCCATTCCTAGAGCGATTCCCCTGACCCATGAAGCCAAAGAGTCCACCACCAAAGATGTGGGAGAAGATGTCGTCCATCCCTGGGCCACCCCCGCCTCCTTCCCGCAAGCCTTGCTCTCCATAGCGGTCATAAAGTTCCTTCTTTTCAGGGTTGGTCAACACCTCATAGGCGAAACTGATTTCTTTAAACTATGATTAGAGAGAACAGAAACCCAAATCAACAACCACAAAAAAACAGTAGAACTGCAGAGCAAATGAACAGCAGTTGCATACCTCAGTCAAGACCTCTATCATTATCTCAAGAAAAACTCAACATGAGTCATGATGACACCATCTCATTGATATCAGAAAGGAAGAAAACACATTATCTGCATAAATGTGAGTGTTTTCCCTGTTACAAATAACCACCTGCAGGCTTAATGCTCTGAAGCTGCCATTTCCTGTAGCTTACACTGTGATCTCCTGCTGAGAAAATGGCACACTGCCATGGGGATAAAAGACAAGATGAAAGAGCCTTAATGTTCAACGCTTCCACTAATATTCCACAGATACTACATTAGAAGCTAATGACAATATTGTGTAGAGCGGTGGGAGGTGGTCCGTGATGATACTGTAGGGGGGCTCAGGAAAATCAACTGCATGGTCAAAAACAAACTAAATAATGGCAAAATATATTACTAGGGCATTAGCCTAGTTACAAAAGAAAACTACAACTAAAAAGGTGGAGTAATTTAAGAGCATTGTCGGAATTAAAGAAATGTATTTGAAAATTACATTAAAGCTGGGCTCAGACAACAGAAGTTCAAAATGATTTTTACACTGATTCAGTCCCTGCTCGAGAATCGGAGGAGAAATCTGGTCTGGAACGTGGAACCATACTTAAACCTCCCTAACTGCCTGCAAAAATCAAACATGTTTCATATTTAGGATTTTAAATGGGGATGAATAAATCAGTATGAATCCTAGCAAAACCAAAACAGCCAATGAGAAAGACAGAGAGACTGGAGCAGCTGACGTTGTTGCCCAGAAACAGTTAACGTCTAGCTGTTTTCAGACATGACATCCGTAAAATGTCGAACAACGGAGTCCGGACATTCTGTGGAGTTTGCCTTTCACATATGAAAAACACAGAACAGATTCTCAGGTCAGATGCGTTCACAACCAAAGAAACATGTTGTAGTGTCGTGTGATGTGCCATTATTTTCTGTTCTTGTAGTGTGGGCATGTCTAAGATTAGAGAGACAGATATCTGTGAAGATTTTCCTCAATGTTTGTCATTGCTTAGGGAAATTCTCTCTGAATTATAATTGAATACCCCTGATCAAAAGTGTGGGAGTTTTTAGTCAGAGACCGGTTTTCATTTATTTTGTTGTTTGACAGCTTAATGTAGTTTGATATATTCCTTTTACTTGAATGGAACAAGCTCATTTTTGGATTTTGTGTGAGACTGTAAAAGGCGGATTAGCAGTTCAGACTGGGGTAATTTTTGTTGTGGAATAATAACTTCCAGTGCACACTTTGTTTTTTGTCAGATTTGTTTGTATTTAGGCGATGATCAAATAAATATAAATGACACAAGTTTTGACATTTTATTTTTGATAAATTCATTCATTCGAGTAATAAAAAAGAATCGATAGGTGCAGAGAGGGAAAACAGCACACATCCACTATTCATAAAAGTAATCCGTGAACTTAGGTCCACTAATATCTTACCTTGTCTCCAGCATTTGGGTTCTTGTCGGGGTGGTATTCTTTGGCCAGTTTCCTGTATGCCTGTAGGAGCAGCCAAGAGAAGAAACTTCATTAGCTAATAGGCTGATTGTTGCAGACATGTACTGTTTAGTGGGATCACACATGACTCCAACACACGTGAAGGGATCATATCTGCTCTTTACACAATCACACATCACTCTGAGGAAACTAAATGTGGCGCCGCCGGGAAAACACATCATGTTGCGTAAATAACGTGGAGTTTATGTAGGTTGTGTTCCTGTAAGGTGTGTCTCTGTCCCCAACGTCACTACAGCTCCTCACACAGTGACAAACGATACCCGGAAATAGCAATGAGTCAAACTATGACAGTTCTTTATTCACCAACGCTTTCTCTAATGTGCGTATGCTAATTAGCTTATCTAGCCAGCATGGGACTCAGCTGACGAACAGATAAAGCTGTCGAATGTGACAAGTGGGCTCAACCATCAGGTCGAGTTCAGTAATAGCGAGGGAACAGTGCATGTGGACTGAACACTGACATCACAGCCGTGTAGCATCAGAGCCATGACTCAAGCAGACCACAACCTGCTGCTTCATTTGACACGCCGTGTGTAGCCAGCTAACTCATGCTAGCAAAGCTTGTGCTTGACATGAACGATCTCATCAGCCGCTAATCCCCTCGGTACCAACAAGAGCAGGTTCGACAACTGCGGAGGTGAAGACAACATTTGGGCTTCGCTACAGTGATGCCGCTGAAACCGAGACGATGTCCAACAGCTCACGTTAGAGTGTTAAACTGACTTTAAGTGTCGCTAATCCAACTATCTATGTGGAGATGAATCAGCCCAGCATCCTGTAGCACTGTGCAGTAGTCACCGTGCTGGTGTGTTGCTGGACAGTTAGCTCTGGTCTCTAGCTGTTTGCACACACGAGCCAACTAACTTACTGCACCTGCAACGTTCGGCAGGCTTAGCTAGCTCCATGACAACCACCTGGGCTAAAGCTAACATGGGGTCAACCGATGGTTTCGTACAAGTACAAGTTAACTCAATTTCTGTTCCGGATGCTCAGATAAACGGAACCGCGGAAGACAATAAAAATGGAAAGACTTTGAGATTTTAACAATTCCACTGAACCCATGGTGGTTCGACGTTAGAGCCGTCACATGATCCCCCGGGCCAGCTAGCTCACAGGGTTAGCAGGCTAGCTCAGCTCTCGGCTAACGTTAGCTAGCTGCGTATAGCAACGCATTTCCTGATCGCAGCAGTGACAAGTAGAAACTCTGAACAGACATTGAATGATGAAACACAGTTTGATTCGGACTCTCTCGTGCGTTTACCTTCTTCAGTTCGTTCTCAGACGAGGACGGGGACACTCCCAGAATGTCGTAGAGTTTAGTATCGACTACACTCGCCATGGTTTCGCTGTGGATGTTGCTTCAGCGGGGAGGTGATGGACAAAGAGACGGAGCCGGTGGAAAATGTTGTTGCTCGCCTCGTGTGTTGGTTTCCGGGAAGTCAGACGCTCAGTGTGTCCGCTGCTGCCTCCAGGCTGCAGGCATGTTGTACACACACTCACTCAGTTTATTAGATCTACAGTAAAATAACAACATGTACGGAATATTTCATAGAGCTTCAAGTAAAGTGCACTCAATTAAATAATCTTTACATGGTTTAATGACATCATGCACCAGCTGATAACCTTCATATGCTTGGATGATAGTTTACTGATCGCTAGTATGGTTGCAGGTTTTTATTGGTTTGTTTAAAGCATTTATGTTTTTGTTTTATTTCAAAAAAATATGTGGAATATATAGGTTTGTGTGGTGCAGTTATTACTCATGCTGTGGGGACCTTAATGTGTTTACACATTATGGAGAGTTATCTTCCTTATAGGGACAAAAAAGCAATTTTCCATTGTGTAAGTCATTACATTTTAAGGTGAAGACATTGAAGTTTGGCAACTAGTAACTGTGGTTAAGGTTAATCATAAGGAGAAAAAAAATGTCCTCTGAAAGATATATATACAATTATACAGTATAGACCATATACAGTCTATGGTATATACACATAAATAAGCTGCAGAGGTGTGTGAGGAGCATTAGCTACTGACATGAAACTCAGTTTAGTTAAAAAAGGGATGTGTTACAAAGTTAAACTTGTTTTTTGACAGGTTTGAGTCACCAGTGCCACCACAGGCCTGGGGGCCTTCTCTCCCCCTTCATTGATTACTAAAAGAAAAGTCACTCATTATAAGTAAGTTACTCAACTACTTGCTTATCAATGTAGTGCAGTATAAGTGAAAAGTACCTGAAAAGCAGGTAAAGTACAGACAGAGGGTGCTTAAGGTGTGTGCAGAGCGCCTGTCACAGTGTTCCATCAGTTCTTGACCTCTCCCTGAGGCTGAAAAAAGTGCAGAAGATCTGGAACACCCCCGCACAGTCTCCATGGACTCCATCCTTCTCTATGACCGCAGGCCTGCGGCTATAATGTCACATGTCATGAAGACCCTTGAGAGGCTGGTTCCACAGCACCTAAAGGCCATGGACTCACTGTTGTTTGAGTACCAGGCCGATATTGTTGTGGAGGATGTCATCACCTACCTGCTTCACATAGCTTACGTACACCTGGAGAAGCCTGCACAGTGAGGATAATGTGCGTCTACAGGGGACAGAGCAGGCAGGTCTTACTGAGGATGTCCGGGTCCTTTAATGTGTGCACTGGGCTGCTGCAGATGTTCCACCAGTCTGCAGAGGCCGGTGTTATCTTCTTTGCTGATGTGTGCTACAGAGGAAGCACCGGGACTAATGGATAGTGCCAACATACCTGGCGAGCTGGAGAGGAAGGCAGGCTCTGTGGAGGATTGGAGCTGGACATTGTGGAGACAGTGACAGAAAGGAGGATCAGCTGAAAGCTGTCACAGAAAACCATTCTCATCCTCCCAACGCTGAGCTGAGGGGCCCGGGGCCACGTTCAGCCACACTCATCCAGACACGTGCCTCAAATCACTTGGGAGGCTCTTTCATTCCATCAGCCATCAGACTGCACAATGCCACAGCACCTAGTATCTCCTACCACTCACTGAGACTTACAGTGCATAGACACATACACATATACATCTATTTACTGTATATATTATTCCTAGTTTATCTTATTAATATTGTGTTATTATATAAAGTGACTGTGTTTACATTTTAATGCAAAGGTTATTAAATGTCTCTCATTACATTCAAACAATTTAAAAATAAACACTGTGTAGATTTACAATAATTTACCACAGGGCTACATGGAGGCTTGAGATGAAAATAAATGTAATTATTGATTCAGTTAAAGGATTCAGTAACTTATAAGTACAATTTAAGATATAACTTTAGCTGGCAAGTCAATTTTAAATGTCACAATACACAATACTTTAACGATACGATTTGACATAGAAAATATCAGTTGTTACAATTGAGCTATTTTTATTATATTTTACTCATGCTCTGATGAAATAAAAGGGTTTAATTAAAATATTTGAATTACAAAAGGATAGATGTTCAAACATTTACAAAGAAAGTTGTCTATCCTTAAATGAACTGTGACAGTATATCTTCATGTGTCATTCTGACAAGTAAAATTGTATGTACAGATGTCAGTAATTATCTAATCCAAACACTGTTTTGCATGTATCACCTCTCAGTTAGTGTAGATCAATGCTTCCTGCACAGAAAGCTGCTCAGCTCTTCCTGTAGGTCTTTTTTTTTATCAGCAGATAAATAGAGGAGTCTGTCTGCAGGTGGAGCTGCACTCATTTATTTCCTCTGAATGATGTTTATATCGTTCCCTGTGATGTTGGAACGACCCTTCAGGGATTATGGTTGTAAAAATACACAACGTGGAAAAGGCTCTAATTCCACCATAATCCTTATTGTGTACTTTCCAGCTAATTCCATGAACTGTAGACATCAACAATAATAACATTTTCTGAGAGTGGTTACTGAGCAGAGTGTGTGATGTGCGTATTCAATGATTAATTTTCAATGATGATACTCAGGATAAGTTATTTTAAGTAATTTCAGCAGCTGAGCGATGTCTATCTGTCACCACAGCATCATATATTGATTATCATCACACATCTACGACCTGATGGCCCATTGACCTACAGGCATCTGGTTACATCTGCGTCACAGAGGAGCACGTCACCAGAGCACAATGCATGTGGCCACGAGTATCTGACATTTCAAAAGGATGCCACAAGCATTCGACAAACAAATGCATCATGACAGCAGAGGGAAAGTGGAATCTGCGTGAGAGCAGGAGTGAGTGATGCATGCAGAAAATGCTGCAAAGATTTATCAAACACTTTTTCTTTCTTTTCTTTTGACAGATAAGAGGATCTGCTCTATCTGTAGGGTTTTTCTGCAGCAGAACTGATCATATCACAACAAATTGAGTGAATCAGCTTGAAACCCTGATTATTTTAACTCAGAAGGTTCACCGACTTTTTAGAAAATAAATCATTACACAGCAAAAAGAAGCTAAGAGAACTCTAATATTCAAGGCTACTTACTGCACTGGATTTTAGAATTTTAGAACAACTCAAATTCCTGAGTTTTTTTGAGAAAAGTTTCTACTTCAGATAATTTATCTTTAATAATCATATAAACAAGTTTTAGGATGTGACATATAAAGAACCGTCCTTCCGTCCAGGTACTAGCAGTAACTGGATTTCCCCCAGGTATTTTACATGACTTCTTTGAGGGCATTTTGATTCTTAGCTACCACTCGAAGGACTTTTGCACCACAACTTACCCATTCACACACCAGTTTTCAGCCAGTGGCCGGTGGCATTACGTTTCGGGTTGTCCATCTGTCTATTCCATTCATGTGAACTTTTGATAAGTTGTCATTTTGACTAAGATTTTCAGATAAATGTTGAAAATTACAATGTTTTAGTGGTCAAAGGTCTTTGTGACCTTATATGAATCTGGAAAAAAGTAGCACACAGACACTGCACTGGCTGTCGGAGGCATACAACTGGAGTGCAGTTACTGCAGTTAGCTAAAGCATCTTGTATGAATGTTTCTTGTCAAACCACACGTTACAATGTGTATCTTACCTGAACATGCAATCTTCAGCTCTTTCTTGGTGATAATGAACAGAACAGCTCAACCCATGGGAAGTGAGTAAGCTCTCATTTAATTCAAAGGAATGAAATTATACAACCAGTGGTTAAAATAATAAATGAGTCCCACATAGGCTACATGTCTGTCTCTGGAGGGAAACAGGTTGTGCTTGTTTTAAACACCCGGTTCAAGGGGAAATTGAGAAAATCACATCTTGATTTGGTGGGAGGGACGGAGGGACGGAGGGTCTGAGTGTGGGATGGTTGCTATTTTTGATTCAGTCCAGGCCTCACAACCAAGCATTAATAAACAATTACTTATTGCCTGAATGCCCATATGCTATAAAGCTCACAGAGCAGAAATAGTCTTTTCTTCAATTCAATTTTTTTACCAAAATAAGAGTCTCTTCATGTGCTCTTCCTGAGGAGAGACTGGATGGAGCGTACCTTCTGTGTATGTGTGAGGTAAGCATGAAAACTTCATCATTATTATTGTAATATCACATCGTCATCGGGTTTCTGATCAGCCTCAAACTCATCATCATCAACACCACATCATGGATTAAGTCATTTTCATAAAAATCATCTCAGCAACATTTGAAAAAGATTAAAGAGTTAAAAGCCAAACATCATCATGAGGCTGGATATATACTGGATCTAATAGTACATTACACTGACAAAAATAAAGACTCAAATAAATTATTAGAAGACGCACTATATATCATATATATCTGTGCATGGCAGGTGAATACATGTAAAAAGTCAGTCTCTCCAGCTCTCTCTCTCACAGTATCTGAGCAGTTTCCTGGTCTTTTAGGCGACCGAGCAGAGAGAAGTCTGGATCTGCATGCGACAACATTCACCTGTAAGTCTCTGATGGAGGAAGAGATTGAATAATAAGAAGAATGGAGAAGAGAGCAGATGTTTCAACACTTCCTGCATGTGAAATCCTTTCATTTTGTGAAGAAGTAAACTTGTTTCCTCAGGGTTTCTCTTCTTCTGGTGCCTCATTTCTTGCCTCTCATTCTTCTCAAACCTCCACATGTGACTATGTGTGGAGAGAATCCTCCAGTGTTACCCACAATACTGTTGAATGCAGCGTGGATAGAAAGAATAGAAGAAGAACTAGGAGCGATCAGTTTGGGATTATTGTGACTCCTGTCTTCTCTTCTTTGCTTCTTTTATCTCGATGAGTGAAAACAAAGATCTGCCTACGTTCTCCTCCTGCTTTTCTTCCCCCTCTCTTCATCTAGAAGTCCATGGAAATGGAGCGCTGTTGTGGATCAACTATGGTGGTGCTGTTACGAGCGCTGTTGCCACGGACACTGAGGGTTCCGCAAGCTCCCGCCATCCCACCACCGATACCTCCAGCAATGCCACTCGGCCCTGCCATGCCCACACCGCCCGGCATACCCATTCCTCCAGCCATCGCCAATCCTCCTGTTATCCCCACTGGCCCTCCAATTC